AACAAGAATAAATAATACCATGTTACCAATTATGGGAATTAAGAATCACACCACATACAACTTTTTCTTTATAATTAAAATAAAAGATATATACAAATGCGAATTCATGCACTTTTTTTTTTTACATTTCTCACTTTCTTTCTCTAATTTTTTTCGTAATTGTCTTTTATCACATAATTATTTATTAAATTTTTTTTTAAATTTTTTTTTAACGAAAAGACAAATTTATTTTTATACGATTCCATATTTAGCTCTTTCAAACTAGCGACAATAATTAATTTATTTAATGATATCAATAAATTTATTTACGCTAAAGGTATATATCATCATCATACCCTCACTTGACGACTTATAAATATTCTTAATAAAGAAAGAAGAACAATATCCAGGTAATTTAAAAAACAAAATCTCGGATATTTTTGAATAATAATTTAATTAATTAATTTCCCTTAAATTATTTTAAATTAATTAAATTAAATTAAATTAATAATCCCCACCCAAAAAACAAATATTCCCTGATCTCTCTCACATCACCCATTATCATCCACCATCACCCATCCACCCACAAACACATTTCCCTGAATCTCACATAATAACAATATATATTATATACATTTATTATATATTATTATATATTATAGATTTATTTCAATGAGCATTTATTTGTAAGTGTTCATTGTTGTCTTAGTGTTCTCTACTATTTTCCCTAAGCTTTCCTTTCCTTTTTAATTCAATCGCTTTTTTTTTTTAATGATTCCCATTTTCGTCAATTATCATAAAACTAAAAACTCAAATTCAATTCAAACTTTAAACATGCATACAGTATAAAAAATATTTTTTTAAAAGAAAACTTGTTTGTTATAACAACAACAACAACAATCAAATTATCAAATTATCAAATGCACGCATTAACTTACATATTTATTTATTCTCTTAAATAATATTATATTGATTATAATAATAATCAAATCTTTTATTTTTCCCAAACTGCATTATTGAAAAATTATAGTTCCACGATTTACCAACAACAATTTTATTCTTCTTCAACAACAAAAATAAAATTTAAAGGAAAAAAGCCACTAATATTATATAATATATATTATATATATATAATAGATAATATAATAATAGTATTAATATTATATCATTATTATATCATATTATAATTATAATTATATCCATTATCAATTTTTTATATATTGGAAAATATAAATTGATAAACAAATAAATAAAGTAGTTGTTTCTCAAATAATTTTTTTTTTGTGCAAAAAAAAGCGACAGACAGAAAAAAAATTAAAAAATCAAAAAATCAAAAAAATATTAATTATATTAATTAAATAATATATATAAAAAAATTTTTTTGTAATCCATTGCAAAGAGGATAAAATGATCCAATCTCCCAAGTTTTGAATACTTTTTATTTTAACAAAAAAACAAACCCGATTTTTTAATTTTTTAATTTTTTTTCTTCTTTTTAAATTTTTTTTCCTTTAATTTTTAATTTGTAAATATTTTTTTATTATTAATTAGTTTAAAAAATTTTTTTTTTTAATATTTTTTTTTAACAAAAAAAAAACACGAAGAATCTTTTTAATTTTTTCATTTTTCACAAAAAATCGACGTTAATTACAACAACAACAACAATTATAATAATAATAATAACAACAACTTTTAACAACAACAACTACCAACAATAACAATAATAATGGGTAGCAGTACAAAGATACTTAAATTTCAAGTTCTTGATCCTCCATCATCAGGTAATAACAATAATTCATCCAATAATTCATCAGCTACTACTACTACCAACAACAACAATAACAACAACAACAACAACAACAACAACAACAACAATCATCAATATAACACCAGAACACAGGAATTTGAATATAATCGTGAAAATATGCAGCAATTTTTTATTCCGGAAGGTTTTAGTCTAGTCCTCGCTCCACGTAATCTAATTACTAGAACCATTCAATTCTTGAACGACGACAATAACGGCGGCGATAACAATGATAACGGTATTAATAATGAGATTTATAGTAATAATGGCGGTGCTAGACCTTTAATGACAAACACCTTGGCATCAACTTATAATAATAATCATTTGCAACAAAGAAGAAATTTCAACAACATTAATAATATTAGTAATAATAATAATAACAATAATAGGAAGCGTCGTCCTAACAATTCTTTGAATGCAAATAATTTGAAAAAACAAAGACCTCATCCTTACCATCCTAATGTTCATCATCATAATAATTCTTCTCCTAACCGACAATCGCAACCACCACCGCAATTGCAACAAAATTTGATCACTGATTATACAATTGCTCGTAAATCTTCAACTATTAAAGGCATTCTTAATCATCCTTCCAAGACTATTAATGACTTGTGGAATAATGAGAATGAAATGACGAGGAAACAATATCATCATGTTTGTAAAAAGATCCCTCAACAACAACAACAACAACAACAACCTTTGCAACAATCCTCTCATCAATCATCATCGCCATCATCTTTCTCTTCCAGGATAGCTTTTGGCGGTGTTTGTTTGAATAGAGGAAGTGGTAGTAGTGATAGCTCATCGTCAGAATCTGAAGATTATAAAAGTATCAGAGTTGAAAATATTTACGAAGAGGAAGATGATGATACAACTGATTCACCTATCAACTCTTCTGCATTATCTTCTTCTCCCATTTTACAATACCAACATAAAAATCTCAATTATGAAGTTGAAAGTAACGATAATGATGCTGATGATAATTTAAGTGATTATTCTGATAGTTATTGGGTGACAAATCCTGATGAAGAAGTTTACCTTACTGACGAAGATGAAAATGATGAAAATTCTTGAAAAATTAAAATGACAAAATTAATATACAAAAATATTAATTAACGACTTCAGAAATTTTAAAAAATTTCATGTAAATAATACACCTAAAAAAAAATTAAATTTTATTATATATATACAAATGTGTATATATAATATACTTATAAATATAATATACATACAAAAAAATTACGTTTCGAAAAAAAAAATTAAGAACACCAATATATTTCGATGTATCCAATAATCTCACCAAAAAATCTATTTACTATAACGAAATTATTCACACTTATTCACACCAAAAAAAAATTATATACATAAATCTTTTTTTGATAAAAACACTAAAAACGAAACTCTTCTTTTTTATATTTTTTTCTAAAATCCTTTTATTTGTAAATAAATTTTTTTTTATATTTTTTTTCATTTTAAAAAAAAAAATTTTTCAAAATTTTGAAAATTTTGAAATCAAAAATATAAATTTTTTTTAAAATTTTCTTTGATTTCCAAAGAAAAAAAAATTTATATATGTTTTTCGCATATTAATTTTATTAATTGCGAAAAATCAAAAAAACATATATATATATTATATTATATATTATTATATATATTATATATATATATATATTTATATATATGAAATCAAAAAATTATATATAAATTTTATATATATTTCTTTTTATAAATAAGAGAAACACAATACACTATAGATTTTTATTTTTATTTTTACAATTATAAGCAAAAAAAAAATTATTTTATGATTTTTTAACAAAATATGTTTTATTCAAAAAAAAAAAAAATATAAATATTTTTTTTTTATGTATTTATTTATGTATATATTATATATTACTTTTTAAAATTTATTTTTTAAAAAACTAACTTTATCGAAAATAATTTAATTTTCGATAAAGTTTATATATAGTGTCAAAAAAAAAGTTTAACTCTATTTATTTATTTATTTATTTTCAATTATAGATATTATATTTTTTAAAATTTTCTTTTAGATTTTTTTTTCTTTAAAAATTTATTGTAAATTAGTTTTTTTTCTATCTTTCGTATATATATATTATATGTATATGTATATGTATACGAAGAACTATATTATAATATAAATATATATTAAAAAAAAAGTTATCACAATTTTAAAAATGTGTTATACTCTGTAAATATATATAATATATATATATATTTATATATATATACAAAATACATGCCTATTATTATTTATTTTTATTTTTTCTTCTCTAGGTTTTTTTTTTATTATTATTATTTCAAAAAAAATCTCGCATGATTCTCTTCTTTTTCACATTTATAAAATTGATTTTTGTTCTCCCTGTGGGAGGGGGGAAAAAGAAAAAAAGAAAGAAAAAAAAGAAGGCGGGAGAGTATTATTTAATATATATTAATATATATATATATATATATATATATATATATATATAATTTTCTATTTTTTTTTTTTTTTATTATTTTTTTTTTTCATTTTTTTTATAGAGTTAACAGATTTGTGCAGATTTTATTTTTTTTATTTTTATAAAATATATACAACTATTTTTTTATTCCTTTCTTATTTTTTTATTATTATATTTTTTTTTTTGTACAGTATATAAAAATTTTCTTTTTCTTTTTTTCTTTTTTTTTTATAAAAAAAAAACTTGAGTAAATAAAAAAAATTTTAAAAAATTCTTTACAATCAATTAAAAAAATTCGACGCGTTATATCTATCACGTGTAAAAAATTAGTAAACAATCTTACCGATCATTACTTGATTTGATATATTCAAATAATAGAAAAGATTGGGCTTTGATTCTTTTTTGAATATATTATTGAGAGTCTTTTAGCTACAAAAATCCCATTCGATCTTAAAAATTATCTAATACTAATAATACATATCATCATCGTACTACGTACACAAACAGACAAAATTTATTATATTTTACAGATTAAATAAAATACTTTAGAAAAGGCGTCAAAATATGTGGAAGTGACAGAAACTTAACACAAACTTGTATAGCACTAGCAATCACACCTTGAAGTTTAAAAGGCTTAGAAGAGATCAAATCAAATCATTTTGGGGCCATTTTCATTCTGTGTTATGGTCAGCTTCGCGAATGAAGTGACGAATAAACGACAATATTTATGTTGATGATACGAATTTATTTTATCGAGGTTGTCAAAAATGACTCAAAACATTTTTTTTGATTCGTAAAAGTTGTATTTCTCTACTACTATTAAAAACAAAGATCTTTTTTATGACATTTATTAAGAAATATGGCATGGTAGGTGTAATGAAACTTTTAACTTTAGTCGTTGACGTAACTAAAGTGTTGACTAAAGGTAGTTTTTCACCAGGGATATTTTGACGATTTGACTAAGTTAAAAGCCCTTGACGTAAGTAAAACGTTTGACCTAAGTAAAAACACTTGATACAAGTAGCAATAATAATATAAGATTATCAAAAGTTCTAAAAATGTATGTGACCAAGGATGAATAAAGAATTATCATCAAAGGATAATTATCATGCGAAGTTATAATTTGGATTAGAGCCTCTTCTTTTCTTATAAATTAAAATTATTACATACATACGAGTTGTGTTAATTAATAGTTTTTTTCGAATTTTGATTTTGAAATTAACTACGCGTAATAGTAATACGCAATCATATTAATAATGTGTTCGAGTTGTCTTTAGTGCCTGACTTTGAAACACACATAGGCTGGTACGTAGAACGGCTTTTACGTACGTAGTGCATGAGACAGTTTTAGGTGCTGGTATTTGTAAGTTTTAATTTTGAAACTTTAAAATTGATAAACATATTAAAGAATGCTAAAATTCTTTATTGTTGATGTTAAAAGGCACACAATAAATAACTAGATTGTTTGTTACACACTATGCAATGAAAAATGAAACAATGTAACCGTTATAATTAAACACCAAGTCAAATATTATATTTTTATATAATGTCATATGTTAAACTAATATCATTTTTATCATCGGGAAAGGGTGGAATTTGTATATAAAATCAATGCTGAAAATGCGTAACAATTCAAGCAGTTGATTCTGATATAGAAAATAGTAAGATTATTTTTTTTTATTAGTCAAAAAAAAAATAAAACAGGGAGCTTTCTGAAAAATGAAACGAATATTGTAAGGAAAGGTTTATTTATGTGTTTGAATTAAATAATGCGACATATAAATCAGGCAAACAAAAAGAATGTAGCAAGTGCAAATTGACAAGATATTCTGATAGATTCTGTGAAGTCTGTATTAGTTTTACAATTACAGAGTCTTTTTGCTACATGGACATCTGGAAATAACATAATTATTCAACAAATGCCAAATGAAATCATCTCTGCCAACTCATATTTTAGAATGGATACTTTTTGAGCAATTTGATGACATAACAAAGTTGACAGAAGGTGGATTTAGTTCCATTTTTACTGCTACATGGACAAGAGGACAAATAATTGACTGTGATGAAAAAATAAAAAGAAGTTTAGTTATCCTGGAAAGCATGAAGTAGTATTAAAAAAAAGTTTAAATGATTCAAGTAATCCTGGAAAAACGTTTTTTGACGAGGTTGGTAGTTGTACAATGATTTTTAGATTTTCTTGACGTAAAGTCACAAGGCAAGTGTAAAGGATGGAAATAAGACAAAGAGTGTAAACTGAAGGTGTAGAAGGAGGCCTCGGGTAGGAAACCAATACAAAAGACAGAGGTCATTTAAACAATACTGTATTATATAATATTAATCGATTTTGTTTATTTTCAGGCAATGAATTATTGTAAAATCAAATCGGGTTGATTGTTCAGTGCTATGGTATAACTAAATTCCCAGATGATGGAAATTATGCAATTGTTTTAAATTAGTTAGAAGGAGATTTAAGGGGTTATTTGTAAAAAAATATTTAAATTTAACATTAAAGACAGAATTACAATCTTTATGTATTATATTCTATACATGAAAAAGATTTAATCCATTGTGATTTACATAGTGGCGATATACTTGTGCAAGGAGGTAATTGTTATATTACAGATTTGGGATTATGTGGACCAGTTGATGAAAAATCATCTATGGAATTGTATCATACACTGCACCCAAGCTATTTAGAGGCAAAAGAACACCAAAGAATCTGATATCTATAGTGTTGGGATGTTAATGTGGGAAATATTTGCAGGACATCCACCATACGATGATAGAGCTCATGACCATCATTTAATTTTGATATATGTGAAGGTTTACGACCAGCAATATTTCCTGGAAATGCTTGATGATTATGTGAAAATGATGCAGAGGTGTTGGGATGTAAATCCATCAGGAAGACCAACTAATGGAGAGCTTTATGATTTTGCTGTTAATAAATATACGGAAATTCCTGGAAATAATGATAATATCAGTAGTAGCAATGGTGGTGTTTCGCAACAAGTACATAAATCACATCCAGATGCATATCATACAAGTAGAATATTAGATGAAGAGATTGCTAAATCCAAAAGCTTAAAAAGTTATACAAGTAATGATGGTTCGTTGAATAATCTTGATTTTAACTCTTTTCTTTAGAATGTTGACAAAGGTGAATAAAAATTCATTATTAATTAATTTGAAATTACTATCCACTAATTATTACTAACGATATTAATTAATTAATTAATTAATTAACATTAAATTCTAGTAACAATAGTAAAAGAAAGATATGATAAATGACTAATTTAATCTCCATCATAAATTATATTTCATCCTTATTTTATTTGTTAAATGGTGATAGTGCGAGTATCATTTCGGTTAATTAGCAATTATGGCTTAACTTTTGGGCTACTCTTGTCAGTTAATTCACAATACTTTCAATGCTTGTCAATTAATTAGTTTACAAATTTATTTTGGTTCTAGACGAATCTGTGAGCACACTTAATGGTATCATAACTCTAAATAAATAAAGATGCTCTTTTACAAAGTTCAAGGGCTTCCTTTTATTCATTTGTGATCGATTTATTTCAGTCATTTACCTCATTTACATTTATTGGCCGATTGTAACCTCGCTTTAGTTTGCTTGCAAAACAACTTAAGTAGCTTGTTCAACAGCCTTACGTTTACGATTATAATTAGAGATGGTATAGTAGTGTAGAAATTTGATTGGATGATTTGCAAAATGTAAATACAAACTGACAAATAAAATTATTTGATTTTTCAATAAAATTTTCATGTATTCCATCAGCTTCTTTGATGGCATTTTCGTCAGTAAGGTAAACTTCTTCATCAGGATTTGTCACCCAATAACTATCAGAATAATCACTTAAATTATCATCAGCATCATTATCGTTACTTTCAACTTCATAATTGAGATTTTTATGTTGGTATTGTAAAATGGGAGAAGAAGATAATGCAGAAGAGTTGATAGGTGAATCAGTTGTATCATCATCTTCCTCTTCGTAAATATTTTCAACTCTGATACTTTTATAATCTTCAGATTCTGACGATGAGCTATCACTACTACCACTTCCTCTATTCAAACAAACACCGCCAAAAGCTATCCTGGAAGAGAAAGATGATGGCGATGATGATTGATGAGAGGATTGTTGCAAAGGTTGTTGTTGTTGTTGTTGTTGTTGAGGGATCTTTTTACAAACATGATGATATTGTTTCCTCGTCATTTCATTCTCATTATTCCACAAGTCATTAATAGTCTTGGAAGGATGATTAAGAATGCCTTTAATAGTTGAAGATTTACGAGCAATTGTATAATCAGTGATCAAATTTTGTTGCAATTGCGGTGGTGGTTGCGATTGTCGGTTAGGAGAAGAATTATTATGATGATGAACATTAGGATGGTAAGGATGAGGTCTTTGTTTTTTCAAATTATTTGCATTCAAAGAATTGTTAGGACGACGCTTCCTATTATTGTTATTATTATTATTACTAATATTATTAATGTTGTTGAAATTTCTTCTTTGTTGCAAATGATTATTATTATAAGTTGATGCCAAGGTGTTTGTCATTAAAGGTCTAGCACCGCCATTATTACTATAAATCTCATTATTAATACCGTTATCATTGTTATCGCCGCCGTTATTGTCGTCGTTCAAGAATTGAATGGTTCTAGTAATTAGATTACGTGGAGCGAGGACTAGACTAAAACCTTCCGGAATAAAAAATTGCTGCATATTTTCACGATTATATTCAAATTCCTGTGTTCTGGTGTTATATTGATGATTGTTGTTGTTGTTGTTGTTGTTGTTGTTGTTGTTATTGTTGTTGTTGGTAGTAGTAGTAGCTGATGAATTATTGGATGAATTATTGTTATTACCTGATGATGGAGGATCAAGAACTTGAAATTTAAGTATCTTTGTACTGCTACCCATTATTATTGTTATTGTTGGTAGTTGTTGTTGTTAAAAGTTGTTGTTATTATTATTATTATAATTGTTGTTGTTGTTGTAATTAACGTCGATTTTTTGTGAAAAATGAAAAAATTAAAAAGATTCTTCGTGTTTTTTTTTTGTTAAAAAAAAATATTAAAAAAAAAAATTTTTTAAACTAATTAATAATAAAAAAATATTTACAAATTAAAAATTAAAGGAAAAAAAATTTAAAAAGAAGAAAAAAAATTAAAAAATTAAAAAATCGGGTTTGTTTTTTTGTTAAAATAAAAAGTATTCAAAACTTGGGAGATTGGATCATTTTATCCTCTTTGCAATGGATTACAAAAAAATTTTTTTATATATATTATTTAATTAATATAATTAATATTTTTTTGATTTTTTGATTTTTTAATTTTTTTTCTGTCTGTCGCTTTTTTTTGCACAAAAAAAAAATTATTTGAGAAACAACTACTTTATTTATTTGTTTATCAATTTATATTTTCCAATATATAAAAAATTGATAATGGATATAATTATAATTATAATATGATATAATAATGATATAATATTAATACTATTATTATATTATCTATTATATATATATAATATATATTATATAATATTAGTGGCTTTTTTCCTTTAAATTTTATTTTTGTTGTTGAAGAAGAATAAAATTGTTGTTGGTAAATCGTGGAACTATAATTTTTCAATAATGCAGTTTGGGAAAAATAAAAGATTTGATTATTATTATAATCAATATAATATTATTTAAGAGAATAAATAAATATGTAAGTTAATGCGTGCATTTGATAATTTGATAATTTGATTGTTGTTGTTGTTGTTATAACAAACAAGTTTTCTTTTAAAAAAATATTTTTTATACTGTATGCATGTTTAAAGTTTGAATTGAATTTGAGTTTTTAGTTTTATGATAATTGACGAAAATGGGAATCATTAAAAAAAAAAAGCGATTGAATTAAAAAGGAAAGGAAAGCTTAGGGAAAATAGTAGAGAACACTAAGACAACAATGAACACTTACAAATAAATGCTCATTGAAATAAATCTATAATATATAATAATATATAATAAATGTATATAATATATATTGTTATTATGTGAGATTCAGGGAAATGTGTTTGTGGGTGGATGGGTGATGGTGGATGATAATGGGTGATGTGAGAGAGATCAGGGAATATTTGTTTTTTGGGTGGGGATTATTAATTTAATTTAATTTAATTAATTTAAAATAATTTAAGGGAAATTAATTAATTAAATTATTATTCAAAAATATCCGAGATTTTGTTTTTTAAATTACCTGGATATTGTTCTTCTTTCTTTATTAAGAATATTTATAAGTCGTCAAGTGAGGGTATGATGATGATATATACCTTTAGCGTAAATAAATTTATTGATATCATTAAATAAATTAATTATTGTCGCTAGTTTGAAAGAGCTAAATATGGAATCGTATAAAAATAAATTTGTCTTTTCGTTAAAAAAAAATTTAAAAAAAAATTTAATAAATAATTATGTGATAAAAGACAATTACGAAAAAAATTAGAGAAAGAAAGTGAGAAATGTAAAAAAAAAAAGTGCATGAATTCGCATTTGTATATATCTTTTATTTTAATTATAAAGAAAAAGTTGTATGTGGTGTGATTCTTAATTCCCATAATTGGTAACATGGTATTATTTATTCTTGTTTCATTTTCTTGATGTTTAAAGATTTTTTTACATTTGTGGATTTATTGTAGACAAAATTTTATTAAATTTTTGGTAAATGGCTAATAATAATATATTATTTATTTAATGTGTGTGCAGTGAATGCATAAATAAAAATTTTTTTGTTTTTTTTCATTGTTTGAATTGTTTTAATTTTCGGTTAACTGTTGTATATTTGTTTTGACAATAAATTTGCTAATCATTGTCAAATATTATATATGTTACAAATATTAAAAAAACTGAAACTTAATTAAAATAATGTTGACTTATATGAAAAACTAGATATTTATCAATAGTTTCTTCTTCTTTGTAGGTAAATTTTTGTTATCAAGAAAGAATCAAATTTCATAAACATTGTTTCGTGTGTTCTTTTTTTTACTTTACTTGCCTGCTTCCTTTCTTTCCTTTAATAATATTAATATTAACTAATTAATCAATTCTCTCTTTCCCTTTTTCTCCCCCCCTTCTTTCTTCCCTCTCTCAAACAGCAAGCATTGTTTCAATCCTTCTTGATAATTCAATTAATATGCAAGCAATTAATTAATACTTATTGTCTCTGTCAATTACTATTGTCATTAGCAATCGAACAAACAATTTCTCAAACAAGTTTACAACCACCTTGCTTTTTTTGTTATTTTCATTTCTATCCCCAGACCTTCTTTAAAATTGCTACTTGCTACTTGCTACAACTATTTAATAATAATTTTTAATATTCTTTGTTTGTTTGTTTGTTTGTTTTTGTTGTCAATTGATTGCTAATCAGTTAATTTAATTAAATTAATTAATTAATTAATTAATTAATATTCTTCTGCTCATCCACACACTCGCACGCACACCCGCACGCACACCCACACCAGTTCATCAACCCATCCACAAATCTACTATTTGTTTGTTAATTCGGTTTTAGTTTGCATCTGATTATTCATTAATGGTTATTGTGATTACTAATTTAAATAATAACAATATTGTATTAATATTATTATTATTGATGTTTTATTATGGCTCACAGCTGTCTAAAAAAAAAATAATAAATAAATAAATATAATAGTAATAGACATAATATAATCATTATCATAATCCATTATTTATTATCAACTAGCCACCCAATCATACTATATATTTATGCTATATATTTCATGTTATATGTAGGAAAATATACATTACATACATTTGCATTACATCATAGCTTTCATGTAATACTGTGTAATGTATACAATTTAATAACAGTATATTATTATTACTATAGCTTACTTACATTATATATCATATCAATCACCCCACCCATTCTATGCCAGATGTGGAGAACAATATGAAAATTAATGAACTATTGTTTTTACATATAAAATTGGTTTCTTTTTTTTTTGAACATGAGCAAAAAACACAAGAGACTTTTTATTGAAAATTTTATTTTTATTATTCGACCAATTAAATGATCGCCACCAAATAAAAATCTCCACATCCAATAATTATCTAATAATTATTATCCTTTTTCTCTCCACAGCTAAATAATGATGATGATTATGATGATTATGATTCTCCCCAGCTAATTTTTGATTGATGTACTCTGTATGGTAATTAATATTTAGCATTGATTGATTGATTGACTGATTGATTGATTGATGATTAACCAAAATCCATGCGTCCATCAAAATCATCACATCCATCACATACTAACAATCAATCGATTCATTAATTATTATTATACGCGTAATTACTATTAATACTAATATTAATATTTTTTTAGACTTGAGAACTGGTTATTAAAAAAATGAATTAAGGCACGTGTGGTTTGTACGTATTAATCTAAAACTCTATCTGTTATCAAGTAAAATTAAAAATTTATTTAAAACGAGTTTTCCGTTTATATAACAAATATTGTGCATATATAATATTATATATTTTCTCTGACACTAATTTATTATTTTTATTATTATTATTATATTATTATTAATTTATTTATTTATTATTTATTTGATTTATTTATTTATTTACAATCTTTGAATCTTGGACCTATCGACTTGATAATATTATTTATTGTTATGTTTATTAGTAATTATAATTTGTTGTCAAAAAAATCAATAAATTTCAATTAGTTGTTTGTTTGTTTTTCTTTAACAGCATGTCAGTTACCCTGAGTTCAAAGTAAATCAATTTAGTAGATCATGTGTATATGCTAGATTTTTTTCTTGGGGTAATGAGTGCCATTACACCTAATAAATAAATTAGTCACCCCGGCAATCCAAACAATTAATTATTGTTATCAACAAATCCATTGTATGTTTCAGTATTTAAATAAATGATAACAAAATTATTGTTATTATTTTCCTATTATTGGAATTATTATTGTTATTTCTTCAATTATGGCAAATAAGAAATGAAATTAATTTCGCGATGTTTGATAACATTGTTTAAATAAATCGCACACACACGCACAATACTCAAAAAATCACACAATTATTACCCTATAGTAAAAAACGTGTTTTAATCAAAAGTTGCCACATAAAAGTGGTTTTTTTAGGTTCATTGACATTAACAAACTTTTATCATTACGCGATTTTATTGTTTCTATAGATGTTACACACAATTTTTAAGAAGTCACACGAACACAACAACCTATTATATTTTTAAATTGTAAAACAATGGACAATAGTATATAATTTGACATATGCAAAGAAAAAAAATAATAATAGACTTTTTGTAATTTTTAGAATTACAATCAATCCATCTACAATGAATGATCCAACCTGTTCATTATCTATCATCATTCTTAATTTTTTTTATCTCCGGAAAGAAAATTAAATTTATAAAAAACTATATATTGGAACGACCAAAATTTAAAAAAAAAGTGGAGAAACGTTATTGCATTAGTATTATGTAATATAATAGAGAGGGAAAAGGAAAGGTTTAATTATGATTGTTTAAATTAATAAACCAAATTGAATTGGTTAATTAATTTAGTGGGGAAAAATTAGTTTGCAAATATAAAGACATTCATTCATTCATACATACATACATTTGTTATTCTTCTCTTTGTCATTATTTTTTTTGTTCCATTTATATTCTTTTAAATGCTTACTTAATCTTCTTCTGATTCCAGTATTTAAAAAATTATATATGACGCCATACTGGAAAAAAAATCAACAAGTTTGTTAACAAATTAAGAAATTAATCAAAGAAATTTCACACACATTATTATCATGTAGGATTTATGCAAGCAGACAAATATGGATGGGTAGATAGATAGATATATGTAAATAAATGCAATTATGCAAAATGAATATAATGTTTATTAAATTTTAAATAAATATTGTGTGTGTGATTACTTTTTTACATATGATCAGAAGATATTTAGGTTTTGATGTGACCAATCCATTATTCGTCATTAATTAATTAAAATTTTTTTATACATAATTTTACGGGGAATAATTTTTGACATTATTACCATTACCATTACAAAAAATCAATAATTCCGAAAATTACAAAAAAAAAATATATATAAATACGTTTGTTAGATGACTATTCCATCCATCTATCCGTTCATTAGCGATTTTTTATTAATTAAAATTCTTGCACAGAGTTTATATTGTTCGATAATTCATTATCATTTTTATTGTTTTCTTGGTTTTGAAACTGCCTCATTCCATTATTTTCCTTCCAACTTTCCAGGTTATAATGTCTCTTGAACATATCTTTATGCAAACACGTGAAAATTTTTTGATGAATTTAATGAACAATATAACAATGCAAACAATGGAATGATAATAATGATTATGATGTAGCGAATATAGAATTGCAAAGTGTTACAGTTAATTAAAAATTTCCTTTATTAGAAAGGAAATTAATCGTTATAAATATGTTAAAAAAAATATTTATTAATTTTTAATTATTCACAATTTGTTTCATTCATTAATTTCTTGTCAAATGATAAAAAAATTAGCTTGTGATGTCCATGATGTGATTATATAGAATATGATATATACTACTTTATTTTATATCCCATCGATCGCTGGATTATGATGAAGTAAATATCTGCTTGCTTTTTTTTAAATGATAGTTGGCTGAAGTTCTACTATTGTTTAGAATACTATATTTAGTAAATTTTTATGTGAATCGGTATTTAACAATGGAAGCAAAATAAAATAGGTGTATATAATTGACATTGACATTTTTATGGATAAAACATTTAAGCACTATCATGATTTATTTATTTACGCCCATTTATTACGAAAGATAATGATAGATAACATTATTTTATTATAGCTCATCTCGTTTAATTAGTAGCATTAGCACTAGCTAAATCCAATATCAGTTAAACATTAACAAAAAAAAGCGGCAATAACAACAACAACAACAATTAATATTAATCAAATAATCAATTGATTGATTATTCTTTGCACATTCTTGCCTCGTTCTCGTTCTCGTTCTTTATTATATTCTAACTTGTTTAAATCTAGTTTATTTATTTATTTATTTACTTTTTATATTATTTATTTTACTTTTATATTTTATTTATTTAATAATAAAACTTTATCATTGTTTCAAATATTTGCATGTCTAATAAACTAAACCCTTTCTTGACTTTTTTTCTTAATATGCAATATGACGATTAACGACATGTAAAGACTTCCCAAAAGAGAAATCGAGGCATTCAAGTTTTTTTTGTTTGCTATATATTTTCCCATTGTTTTTAATTTTTAAAAAATTTGGATATGAATAACTAAATTTAAAAAAGTTTAAAATTTTTCTTTTCTCTTGGTTAAATAGCATATCTGTTGGTTTGGTGGGTTAGCAGATAGTGGATGATTGATTATTATTGCCATTAATAAATTAAATTAAATTAATTATCAGGCGGCATCAAAGATTTTAATTGATAAATCCAGATTGATATATCCTGCATATACCCAAATACGTATAATGTAGGTAACTTTGATTGTGTGGAGTTAATATTATTCCCCACATTTTTTTTCTGATGGATTATAATGAACACAAATTTAGTTCCCCACATTTTAAAAATTGTTATTTGAATGAACGAACATGTTATTTTATTACCATCCAAACATGATTTTGAGAGTATTGCTATTCTCAATTACTCACACAAACACACACACGTATTTTTTGTTGACATCAAATTTTGAATAAAACTTTAACGTGAGGAATCAACGCGAAGAATAAAAAGTTGAAAATGAAAGTTCAGAAGAAGAAAAGGAAGAAGAAGAAGAAGAAGAAGAAGAAGAAGAAGGTGATGATGATGATGATTATTATTATGATGATGATGAGGGAAACGATTTTTTGATGCCTTTTTTTTTAAAAATCGTCAATTCCTCATTTGTATCAATAGATACTTGAGATGAACTTTAACGCATGAATATTTTTGATAATCAATCAAAAAAAAATGCAAATTTTGGAAATGATCTTCATTTTCTTCATTTACTTGTAACACAAATATGGTTCAACCATTATTATTGCTCGCTAGCGCAATGCAAAATGGTAAAAGATGCAATGCAAAATGGCAAAAAATTGCAAATGAAAATTGTGATATGAAAATTAAAATATTCTTATTGAAATACAAACTTTAA